AGAAGAAAACAGATCCTACCATTTGCAACAACATGGATGGAGCTAGAGGGTATTATGCTCACTGAAATAAGCTAGGCAGAGAAAGACAAGTATCAAATGATTTCACTCATATGTGGAGTATAAGAACAAAGAGAAAAGTGAAGGAACAAAACAGTAGCATAATCACAGAACCCAAAAATGGACTAACAGTTACCAAAGGGAAAGGGACTGGGGAGGATGGGTGGGAAGAAAGGGATAAGGGGGAAAAAGGGGCATTACGATTAGCATACATAATGTGGGGGGGAGGGGCACGGGGATGGCCCTACAACACAGAGAAGAGAAGTAGTGATTCTATAGCATCTTACTACACTGATGGACAGTGACTGTAATGGGGTCTGTGGTGGGGACTTGATAATAGAGGGAGTCTAGTAACCATAATGTTGCTCATATAATTGTAGATTAATGATACAAAAAAGAAAAAAGACTTGTTACTGACACGATGTAATAAGACCTGTGTTTTATTCCCTGGGCTGTGTAGCTGCTGCCACATAGGACCTGAGGGTTTCTTCCCATCGTCAGTTCCCACGTGGTGTTTTGAGGAGTATTTATCCAACATCCCCTGGGACTACACTCTTTTTGTGAGCAGGGCCCTGTCATTCCTTCCATAGCCCTCAGCCATCTCAGCATGGGCTTCATATGGTAACAACAATGACTAAGAGTTATTGAGCACTTGTCTTCTGCAAAGGATGTTATACACAGCATCTCTCTGAATGCACTCATTGACATGATGAGGTAGATTTGATATCATCTGCCCTGAGAAGTAAGATAACTTATCAAAAGTCACATAACAGTAAATGAAGGAGCCAGAATTTGAATCCAAGCAGCGGGTCTATGCCACTGGGCTATGTAGTCTCACTGAGGGTAACATTGCTGCAGGGGCTCCTTGGGAGGTAAAACAACTTGACTCTCATGTCCAGCTTCCTTGCTCCAGGTTGGACAAGGTTTAGAGATGGAGAATGGCAGGAAGTTGGGCAGGAAGTTTCTTTCTTGACAGTAATAACTCAGATCTCTAGGATAAGTCCACTGTTGCCACATACTTTTCTTGTGTATCATTTCATTTGACCAATTATTTCACAAGTGAGAAAATTGAGTCTCAGATAGGTTAGCTGGCTTGTCCAAGGTTACTCACTAGGAAGGCAGGTGGGTATTTGAGCCCAGGCCTCCTGACTGATACTACTCTGCAGGCAGACTACAGTACCTGAGATCAGAGTACAAGGGGAGCGGTGAGAGGGAGAAAAAATGTAACTGATGTGGACTGGATCCTGCCCTGGGAATAGAAGATCCTATTTCATAACCCCCTGACATTCCTTTTCTATTTAGTTTTCTGAAATGATTGCTTTACAGCCCTTTTCATCTCATCCACCCATCTGAATATGGAACCAGTAACTCCAATACTTTCTGTTTGACTCTTAAATTCCTTAGTTGAGGTCGTGAGTGAACAAATGAATGAATGTATGAATGAATGAAAGGGGGTGGAAGTTAAGCCCTAGGAAACCTGGGTCACTTGTCCAGCTCTTACTCATCTCATCTCTAATCATTATTCTCAAGAGAAGCACCAGGAAAGAGTCAAATAATCCAGATTTGAATCCCAGTCCCTCCTCTTAGTCATTGGCTTTGAAACAAATCATTTAATCTTTCTAAAACTCAGTTTTCCTCTTTAGCACAACCGATTTAATAATAGAAACCACTTCAAAGGGTCATTGGGTGGATTAGAATAGTAATGTGGAGATATTAGCACATTATGGGATACTTAGCAAAGTCCCTGTAGAGATTAATGCTTTTGATTTACAAGGTTGCAGTGAGGACTAAAGGAGGTAAAGGGTGTGAAAGTGCCTAAATCATTTATTATTTACAATGTAAATTCTTCACATTCTGAAGGGAATGGAAGACAGGAGGTGTCAGTAAAAGGGACCAGGAAAAAGGTCTGAGGACAGAGAGGGCATATTTTAACTCTGCTTGTTAAAAGCTAAATGATTGGCCTCTTCCTCGTTCCCCTCAGCCAAGGGCTGACTGGCTTCCTGGCTCAGGGGCTTAGAGACTGGAACACCACTTAGAGAGTTTGGAGAAAGCCCAGCAAAGGGCGGAAAGCCAGCATTTCAGGGGACAGCAAACCATGAAGGGAACTGGCAGAAAAGGAATCTTGCACTAGAGGAGAAGAGGCCAAAGCAGGAGGATCCAGGATTTCTCATCTCCACTGAGGACCAAGGCTGATAAAAGGAAGAACTTCTGAAAGTGTAGGCTGTGCATGAGCAAGATGGAGGAAAGGGGACTTAGGGAATGTTCTTCCTCCTGCAAGGTCTAGCATGACGTTGGAGACTCCCGCCTTATCTGGGCAGGAAATGGCTGCCCTCCTTTGGAGGAGTAAGTTGAATGAGATAAAGAGGATTGGGCAGGGGGCAAAGGTAGGGATGGACTTGGCCTTCCCTGAGATAGGCAGAATGCTGTTTTCTCCACACCTTTCTAATCTTGGTCCCCCTCCCTGTCCCCATGCCTGGTGCTTCTCCATTGTAGCCCTTTTACCATTATCTGAAGGCTCATAATGGTCGATCAGTTCCAGAGCAAGGTCAGAAGCATGTTCTCCTTCTTTCTGCTCCTCTCGCAGGAAATCCACAAATTCTAGTAGGGTCAGCTTCTGCCCATCAGCTGAGAAGTTTTCAAACAGTTCCTGTACCTCAGCACGATGAGTCAGTGCCTTATAGAACTCAACAAATTCTTCTCCCTCCAGAGCCCCAGACTGAGACATGTCTGCTGCCTACAGGAGAAGGTTCAGAGAAGAGTGGATGAACCCTTTAATAGCAAACGTTATGGCTTTAACTTGTCCTGTAAGGACAATCTTACGGACAGATGTATCCAAACATGCTTCCACAAAACTCCCACAGAGCTTCTGACTTTTAATGTTCATAGTAGAAGCCGCTTCAATAAGTGAAAAGCAAAATTTCAGCCATACAATATGCCACTAGAGAATAATTTCAACCAGAAAGAGTTAAATGCCCCAAAGGTCCCTAAAAGATCAGATATCTCTGCCTATTTACTCACAACCAGTTGGAGTTTCCACTGTACTTGACACCTGTGAAATTCTGGCCAGGGACAGAGAGGTCCTTAAGGTCTGAGACAGTAACATACTGTTCTTTACCTTTCATAAGATTATGAGTCATCTTTCCAACAAGACTGAAGGGTAAGAACCTTGTCACTGCCACTTGCCATTGAGCCTGGCGTAATGATAGGCACACAGGAAGGACTGGACAAATGCGTATTGCTGGATGGGGTCAGAGTACCTCTGGCCAAGAACATGGCTGTGGCAGGCTTCTGTAAATCCTTCTCTGGAAGACTCACCTGGAAGAGCTGGAAGGCATGTTCTTGGTCCATTTCCACATTCATCAGGCGCAGTAACCGCTGGACTTCTGGAAAACTCATCCGACCATCCTGGTTTTTGTCTCCACGCTGGAACCAGTCACTCAGCCATCAAGGTCAAGGATGTCAAGGCAAAAGCACTGTGTGTGTGTGTGTGTGTGTGTGTGTGTGTGCATGTGTGCGCACATACACACAGGTGTACCAATTTATTTCCCCAATTAAATGTTCCAGAATAATCTCCCCAGAGAACCAATCTGTCTTGTCCCTGCATGGCTCAGGTGCTTGCAAAGGCCTGATGCCTGCAGAAGGAAGCCCAAGTTCCTTAACATAGAAGTTGTCTTTCACTCCCATGATCTGGCTCCAACCCAGCCTTCTCAGCTCACCTCTGTTTTCCCTTTACTTTAGCCAGACTCCAGCTCCCTGCTCTCTGCTGTCCCATTCTCTCTCCTCTTTAATTTCATATCTCCGGGCCTTTATGCATGCTGTTCCCTCAGGCAGGAGTGCCTTTCCTTCCTCCTCTCTTTGTGTTCGAATTCTACTCAATTTTAAGGCTCAGCTGAAATGCTACTTCTTCCTTGAAGCTTTCTTAGAACACTCTCAACTAGAATTAAATATTTCTCCTTCTTTTGAATACCTACAAATAATCTAAGTACCGGAACACTTCTATGGTTATTAGATTATTCACACAATTCTGTTCTCTCCATCAGCTAAAACAATACCTGAGTCTCATTAATTTTTGTACCCCTAAAACCTGGTCTAATGCCTGATACATTTTGCTCAATAGATGGTGAATGAATGAATAAATGAACGAATGAACGGTTGTAAGAAGTGAATACAATCTAGGACACTTGAAGTGAGTCGACATCACCATGCCCTCTAAGGGGCTGCTTCCTGTGCCTATGGTAGTTAATACCACTGAGATCTTCTGTTTAGCTCTCGGGATCAGCACCTTCTTTGGCTCTTTGGCTCTCACTGTCCCTTCCCCCAATCACGGAGGGTCTGACTCAGCCCAAACTCTGCCTGGCTGTCTTTACCATCCCAAGTCACCATTTCTCCCTCAATGTCCTTAGCCTCTCATCAGCCTGAGCCGTCCCTGCCCTCCACACTGGATTCTTGGGCATCCCTCACTCTGCACCTCCTCCCATCGGTCCCTATCCCTGCAGCATGTGGCTCCTTCGGTGACCCCTGGCCCCCACTCTGACTCCTTCGGGCCGATACTGGTCCAGCTGCTCCTGTTGGTCCATGCTGGTGACAAAGTCCACCAACAACCGAAGTCCCTGCATCCAGATCTGGGCCTCTTCAACACTGTTGGCCACAAGGTCCAGGTTGGAGCGGCGGCCATGGAAGACAACGGTGAAGCCCTGCTCCAAGGGGAACTCCTCTGCCAGGCTGCGCAGCAATTCAGACTCATGGCCCTCACGCACTGTCTCCACGTCAGAAATTGAAACTGCCAGGAAGAAGCAAGTTGGGGTGCTGAGGAAGAGTCCACTAAACCACAGGGGCTAAGGGTCATGGACCCATATTCCTTTCTTCTCTATGGAACAAAATGGAGGAGGAATCCCAGCATCCACAGGCTGAAATTCTAAAAGCCACAGTACAGCAAGATGCAGACCCTAGGGAGTCAAGATTCCACATGAGTCATTGCTGTTTTCATAGGCAGCATAGCAAGGGGCCTGTGCTCCAAGTGGCAAGACCTGGCTTCCAGCTACTAGCTGGCAGTGTGACAGGACCAAAATGACTTAACCCCTCAAGGTCCTTATTTAAATAAGGGATGGTCCCTTCCACAGCTAGTCCTTCTGGTAATTACAGGAGGACTGGAGCAGCTGACAAATGGAAACACACTTGTAAGGTAGAAGTAGTTACACCAAAGCATGGTATGCCCAGTTCCAGGTTTGAGGGCATTCTCTTTCCAGATGTCTAGGAGGAAGCCAGAGAAATTCTTCCAACCATTTTCCTCAGCTGGGGGTGGTATGGATTTTGAGCTTTGAGTATGTCTCTAAAGCAGACTTTCTTAGATGTGTCCTGTGATCAGATTTGTAGAGGGATCACAAAGTGTTTGGCCAACAGGATGCACACTGTTATGATGCATTTATGATATTTAAAAATATTCACCATAACAGCTAAAATTTATTCAGTGCATTCTGGTTTTCAGGTCCCATGCTAGGTGCTTTATGCATTCACTCACTGAGTCCCTCTAACCTACGAGGCAGGTACTATTTAATCCCCTTTTACAGATGAGAAAACTAAACTTAGTTTAAGTTAAATTACTTGTCCAAAGGCACTCAGTTAGAAAGTGGCAGAGCGAGGATGTTAATCCAGGCAGTCTGATGCCTGAGATCATGCTCATACAACAAAAACAAAAACAAGAAGATATAACCTGCACATTGAGCCTTATTATGTGCCAGGACTCTTCTAAGCCCTTTACATGCAATAATTAATTTAATCATCATAAGAGCCTTAATGGAAAAATACTATTATAATTTCTATTTTACAGGATCAGACACATACACAAGTGGGACACTACAAGGGCACAATGCAGGACCCTGGTCCCTCCCCTGCTCTCAAGCTGCTGGATTCCTCAGGGTCCTACCCACCCATGTGCCCACCCCACCTAACCACGTCACTCACAGCTTGGCTTGGCACTGCCTCCTGCCTGCCGGGCATGCCAGACTGTCATGCTGTCATCCTGAAGTCTGAAGTATCTTAGCTTCTTCCAGCTTTTGGACCTCACCTTGCGCATCATGGTGCCTTTCTGCATCAGCAGCAGGTCTTGATTGATGGGCAGCCCTGGGCCAGGAGAAGCAGAGGCAGGGTAGCTGGAGGGGAGGAAGCAAGGCCCAGGAGGAGCTCTTGAACACCCCTGGGCTGTCTCCCCAGGCCCTCCTCTCCTACAAGGGTACTCACGGCTTTGCAACTGGGACGCCATCACCTACTGCTCCACCAGCTGTGGCCCCAAAATCACCTGCATGAACAAAGAGGAGCAAAAAACTCTGGGTTAATTTTGGTGGCTTGGAGAAAAAATTTTGGTGGTCTTGGAGAAACAGATCAAGGAAAAAAATAAAGGAAAACCATGTCAGGCACTTCAGATACAGAGTCTGTCGCTGTTTATACTACTTATTTGAGTTTGATGACTGAGGCTTAGAGAGGCTAAGAAACCTTGCTCAAATCACAGGCGGCTTCAGACTTTAAACTAAACCTGTCTGATTCCAGAGCCCATGCTGTTTCTCCAGAGGACTAAACCACAGCCTCCTGCCTAAGACCTGCTTCCTTCCCAGTACCCCATAATCCACTAGGTAATCCCATGTCACACTTCTCAGCTCCTCATTTCTGGGAAACACTGTCTTGCTGGCTTCCCCTTTGCAGAACCTGGAATTTCTCTACATGCTAGCCTTCTCTTCTCCAGGTGGAATCATCCCAGCTTCCCTGTTGTTCCCCTGTAGATCACACAGCTCCTGAATGGCTAGGAAAGAGCATGTTTTGTCTCTTCTACAGCATTTAGTGCTGTACTTAGCTAAATAAGACATCTTCTACCTTCACACTGTGAAGCATATTTTATAATCCTTTTCATCCGTTATTCTTTTTTAATAGAATAAGTTACATATTCTCAGACCTGCATTCTTAGGTTTTCTCTACTTAAACAGAGTACCTCCTTCAGGATATACGCTAATTTAGGACCTGATTGAGTTGTCCTAGTGGGTAAAAATAAACTTTCCTTCAAGAGAACCAGAAGACTTGATATGTGGCCACTTTGATTTTAGCTCTGCCATTATAAGAAATACTCAATTCTTGACCAAATCATTCTGAAGTTGGCAAAGCTCATGAAATATAAAGCTCTACGCTTTTGAATAAGCAAAGGATCTACACATAAATAGAAATGTGTTTTTTACATGATAAGTTAAAAATGTTGACAATGGTGAACATCTAAAAAACTAAAAGAATCATTAAAGCAATTAGCTAGTGTTCTATTAAAACATCATGCATTTCTGGGGAGGGAGGGAGAAGGGGATTGAGGGGTATTATGTTTAGTACACATGGTGTGGGGGATCACGGGGAGAACAGTGTAGCACAGAGAAGGCACAGAGTGAATCTGTGGCATCTTGCTGCACTGATGGACAGTGACTGCATTGGGGTGTGGGTGGGGACTTGATAATATGGGTAAATGTAGTAACCACAATGTTTTTTCACGTGAAACCTTCGTAAGAGTATATATCAATCATACCTTAATAAAAAAAAGCATCATACATTTCAACTTTTTGTATTTTACAAATGAAAAGAAGTCCAGAAATGTGATGTGACCTGTCTGAGGTCACACAGCATATTAGTGCCCTCTTTTTCTACAGTGGGAAGAGCTGATGAAATCAAGGAGTGACTAAGTCTTTGGGAAGAATGTGGAGGTTACTGAAAATACAGCTTCCCTGACTGCAGGACCTAAGGAAGGCTTTCTAAAGTAGTGACACTGTACAGGTGCTCAGGAGGAGAGGGGAATCATTCTGTACCTAAGTGGGAAAGATAACTCAAGGCAACTCTCAGGAAAGAACAGTTCCAAGAAGAAAAGTTTTTGCTGCAGGCTGAGGCTCTGCAGGCTGAAACCTCTGGATGGAGAAAGGCACACAGAGTGTTTCCTGAAAGATGGAAGAGCATCTCTACTTTTCTGGGTCGAGATGCACAGTTTGAATCTGAGGCTTGCAAAAAGCTATATGAAGACTGAAGTAGAAAGTAACCCTCTTAAATATCCCAGGTCCTCAGACTTTGGGGAGGGATGGGGTCAGCCTGGGGCTGAAGCCTAATCCCCCCAGCCAACACCCTGCCTTACCCTTTTCTAAACTTCAGTTCCCATGTCTGGGGCATAGGGACTCTGAGATGGGGTGGGCCTTTGTCTTGGGAGAGGACTTAATTACCTTCCCTTATACTGTGTCCAGGACCCTCACAATGGTGTCCTGAAACATGAAGAGCCTGGGAACAGAGCCCTGTTTTGGAGCCCACCTCCTCTCAGACCAGTCTTAGAAAATTGTTTATCCTCTTTGGTAAAATTCTTCCAACTCTTCCAACCCCAGGGCTTGGCATGCTCTTCCAATTCTGCTCCCATTCCCCAATGACTATTTTAAACCTGTATTCAGGTGACATGTAGCCAGAAGAGGGCCAGTTTCAACTCAGAACACAGAATATCAGATCTGGACTTTGTTCTCTAGAGAAGGGAACCAAGGACTAGAAAGATTAGTGGGACTTCCAGAGTCACCTAATGAATTAAGTGGCAGAACTGGGACTAGAACCAAGATCTCCCAGCTGACCAGCTCAGAGATCTCACCAAGATTCTGACCTTAGCAAGGACTTTCTCTAGGAAACAGGTTAAAAGCAGGGCTAACAGGTGGAAAAAGATAAGTACCAAATAACTTCACTCATTTGTGGAGTATAAAAACAGAACAAAACTGCAGGAATAGCAGCATACCCACAGACTTAGAGAAGAAACTAGTGGTTACCAAGGGGAGGGGTTGGGAAGGGAGAAGGGGATTATGGGGCACTATAATTCACAATCACAATATAGGTAGATCATGAGGAAAGCAGTACAGCATGAATAAAACAAGTAATGACTCTATGGCATCTTACTACGCTGATAGACAGTGACTGGAATGGGGTGGGCAGGTAAGGGTTTGATAATATGGGTGAATGTTGAAACCACAACGTTGTTCGTGAAACCTTTATAAGATTGTATATCAATCACACTTTAATTAAAAAAAGAAGCAGGGCTAAGAATCAATGAGGGATATCAATGCTTTACTCCCACCCCTCATCATTTTGTTTCCACCATATCTCACATTTAATAGCTCTTCTTTTCTGTCTGCCCATTTTCTTTCCTTTTCCCACCCTCTGCCTGACCCCTTCCTTTTCCTTTCTCAGCTCACTCTTCTCTCTCCTGATCCCCTCTCTGCCTATTTGCTCACTTGTCAGCCTCTCTATGCTCTCCTCTTCTCATCCCTTCCCCCATCACCTCCTCCTCTTTTTTCTTCTCTAATTCCCAATAGCTCTGGTTCTCATCTCCTTGAGGGATGTGGTCCAAGAAAGAAGGCATTTGGGTTCGGATACTCAGTAACACATCCCTCTGCTCAGCTTCACTTTCCCCTGTATCCTAGGAGACTGACTAAACAAACTGCCTAGAGAATACAATTTAGAACCCAGGTGTTCTGGTCTTGGTGTTTCTTCTGGTATCGGAAGGTAGGTGGGGAAGGATGGTCGCAGCTGCTGTAGGTGCAGTGAAGAGGGAAGGGACAAAGGATTTGGGAGTGGGAGCAAGAGCCAGAGGCAAGGAGCAGAGGATGAAGACTGACAGGAAGAGAGACTGGGTCTTACTGTTCCCTCCTGGACATGTGGAGATCTCAAGGGTACAGATAATACCCTCTAAAATACAGGTGAGAAAACAGACACACAAAACAAGGTGGGAAGTGGGCAGCGCTGCTGAGCAAGATTTGGTCCCTCAACTTCCAGGTGGCTTCTGTCACCTAGAGATGGACTTCGGCAGAGTTGCCAATAGTGCCGATAACATTACAGTGGAGTCTGGGGTATCTCAGGTCTCTCCAAGGGGCAGGAAGGATGAGAATAATTTTGCCTAGTCTCTTGCTTCTGAGCAGGATTATGCCTGACCTGGTTCAGCTAAAGAGGGCAGAATGACTGGTCACAGGTCATAGCCCTCAGAATGCTAGAGTGTGATGACTCTAGCACATCTAATCCAGAGGTCCCTGGCTATATATCAGTTCCTCCCTGGAGTGAGTGTGTCTTAAAACAGATTCCTTAGCCCTGCCCACCATATACCAGATGAGAATTTCCAAGGATGAGGCTCGGGAATATTTATTTTTGACAAGCACCCCTGATACACAGGCAAGTCTAGGAAACCCTAAACTCCTTCCTGTCACAGATCAGAGTTGTTGTCCAAAGTCACACAGTTAAGAGCAAAGTCAGGGTTAGAGGCAAGTGCTCTTCCCAGCCCAGTGCTCTGGTGTGCCAACAAACTGCCCTGGTCCACTGAGCAAGCTAACACCGAGGTATCCAACTCAAACCCTGGTTTTTCCAAGGAAATCGCATGATTCTCTCCCCATTACTAAGGTTGCTATACTACGCATGGGTCTTGGCCAACCTTCCTTTGGTATTTTCAACAGTCTGTTAATGCATCTGGGGAAAGCCGGGCTATTCCAACTCTTTCTTCCTCACTAGGGTGGTGCTCACCTCTGAGTGGCGGCTCTGGGTAGCTAAGAGGTCCCCATATAAAAAGGCGACTTGACACAGCCAGGAGGAAAACTAAATCAAAGAGCGTAAACTAGAGAGAACTAGGAGGTTGGAGCCTTGCGGACCTGTTTGGGTCAAGGAGTCCAGGGTACAATTTAATCAGGGCGGATAAGCATGTGCAGGGCGGAGGCAGGGACTCAGGCAGTCAGGCAGAGCAGAGCTTGGAGCGGAGGCTAGTCAGAGCCTCCAGGCCCTTACCGTGGGCAGGATAGCAGTCCTGTCTGTGAGTTCTGTGCTGCTTCCGCTGGGGGACCGGGAATCCCAGCTGAGCTCCTTTTCTCCTTTGCTCCTCTGGCACTCGCTGGCTTTCTCTCCTCTTCTAATGCAGTTTGCTGCTGCGACTGGCAGCGTTATAGCCAGAGGGAAGGAGAAGGTGCTCTCCTCAGTTCAGCCTTTCAGCTCTTAAAGGCCCAGGACACTGGCCAGTGTGAGGGGTAGTGGGGGAGGGGCAGGTGGAAAAGGATTAAGGGGAGGGATTGCCCCGCACCACCTCTCCAGGGAGGAGGAGCCTGGCTGCCCTTCATCTTGAGGCCAGCCCTCACTGACCCCAATCTCACAGTAGCTCTAAAAGGAAAACCCAAGGCGTATCTGAGTTGCAGTGCTTCATGAATCACTGCTTTTCATTCTGGTCGGTTCGCTCTGCATGTTACACAGCTGTTGGCCCTTATTTCATCTGGCCCCTTTCCATGGTGTCTGTTTCCACTAGCCTGCATCTGTGTCTCTGCATCCTGCCTCGAAAGGCACTCAGTTCAGCACTGTGACACAGGGAAAAGAAAAAAGACAGGATGGGAAAGAAGGAAGGTGAGGAAAAAGGAAAGAGGAATCTTAAAAGTGTAGAGGGATAGGTTAGTATCTATGCATATATCACTTGCTTAATACTGACGGAATGCATACGTGAATGCATGAAACCATTCATTCATTCTTCATTTATATTCATTCACTCTATGAGCAGTCGTTCGGCACCTCCACACAAGGACACATGGGCATGTTCATAAAGGTGTCTGTCAAGATGAAGCAGACTCATGGTGTGTGAGAATCAAGGAGAAAAGAGGAACACAAGACCAGAAAGACACCCATCTGGGAAAGGAATGTAATGAGTTTCTTACAAGGGTAAGTAAATAGGCAGCTGAAACAGAAATGAAAATGGAGGAAAGCGTGAGGTAGAACAAGGACGTGGGACAAACATCATGATTAATTTTTCTTCCCTATAATGAAAAATGCTGAGATATAAATAGTAGAGTAAGAACAGGAGAGACCCCATCTTAAGGCTAAGATTCCATTTGAAAACCAGGGAGTTAGGGGGTAATGATTCCCAACATTTTATGGTGTTAAGCCACCAACCAAACCTATCGTAAGGCCAGGCGAGCAGTCCTAAGTGATGTTTCCATGCTGGAAGGTAACCATTATCTTGGAGAAGAACACCGTCTCTAAGTTCCTTAAGTTTTTCTTACAGAACATCTAGAAGACTGATCACATCAGCGTCTCTACCACCACAGAATAGACATCACGAGGCCACTTTATCCCCTTCTTGAAATCCTTGAAAAGCTGAATCCTAAAGGCTTTAGGCACGCCTCTTCCCTGAGGCTGCCCTCATGCCCCTTTCTTTGTGTGTGCTTTGCCTTAAATAAAGCCTTCTTGCTGCTCAGCTTACTGCACTTTCTCTCTTCACTCTTCCAAGCCTCTTAGGAGGTTAGTAAGAGACCCCTTTACTGGTGGTAAGCGTCCTTGTTACTTCACTACTACATTCAATTTTCTGGACTTAAGCACAAGTCTTTACTTTCTCTGTTCTACTTCAGGCAAGTAAGGGAGGGCTACTGAGATTTCTGATTTGGGGCTTGCAAGTTCCTGTCACCTGAGTGACCTGGACTGCAGCTATACGGCTGTGCTCTTTATTAGCCTGCCTGAAAATCTCCTTTCTCTGATTTGGGGAAGTTCTCAGAACATAATTTCACTCCATTCAGTGCTCTGGGGCTCCCCAGAGTCCTGGGATGCTAGGAGCTTAGTTCCCATGCCGTGCAGATTCAACTGGGCATTAGATGCCAGGTGACCTTGGCTTCAGGAGTTGGCAAGGGATCTGCCCTATGCTGAGCAGTTCAATGAACTTCCCTTTCTTCCCTGTTCCTCCTTGCTTTCTACTGCCTGCATGGCTGCTGCCCTTCACTGCTACTCTTGCTTTAATGAATTTCTTCCTTATCTGCACTCATCAGACCTGCGTGAATTCTTTCTTGGTCAGAGACAAGTACCCTCTCCTGGGGTTGAGGTCTCACCTAGTGATTGGATTGCCCAACAATAAGGGACCAAGTTTTTTCCTTAGAGAGGAATAGGGTTGTAAAGGGCTTTATTATGACCCTGGACCCATACATCAGAGTGAGAAACTGAAACCCAAGGACATTTAGGCGATGTCCTGGACTCACACATCAGCTGCAGACAACCAGTCCCTTGTACTTTCCGAAACACTGCGAGTTGGGGCCTACTTTGCTCTGCCTTGCAAAGACTGTATAGGTGGCTCTTTCTGGACCTGTGGATGACAGTAAGGCAGCTGAGGGCATAGGGCACAGCCCAGTCTTGGACTTCTGTGGGGTCCTTTTCCAGTGAGTTGTCTTAATCACTTAGGCAGAGGGAACTAACTGTATGAAATAATGTGTGCTGAGATTTGGCTGCCTCTCGACTCCTCCCAAATCATTAACTACCTAAAATTCTACCATTAGGGATTATTTATAGCTAAACCTTTACTCCCATTAAAATAAAATCTTCCTAAGTGATTACCATAAATATCAGGATAGTGGTTGCTTTTAGGAGGAGGGAGATGTAATGGGATTGGGCAAATGGCTGGCTTCTGAAATAGCTGGCCAAGTTCTCTTTCTGGTCCTGGGTGCTAATAAGGGTCTTCAGTTTATAATAACATACTAAGCTATATGTAGTTAATATTGCTTTAGTTTTTTAATGTTGTTTTCTATATGTTATATTTTACAGTAAGAAGGTTTCAAATTTGTAACTGGTAATTCCTGAAGCCTTCTTGGTTTTTCACCACTTGTACCTAAGTTGAGTTTACCATACCCTAAATGCAGGTTTTAATAAAGGAAGAGGAGTGTGTAGGGAGGGCAAGCAGGAGACCATCCACGGGGAACAGCAAGATGAAGGGAACGTCAGAACGGAAACTGTGATTTTAGATTTTACTTAAAGGAGGCCCTGCCTCACATATGTGTCTTACTCTCCCATTTCTACCCCCTCAGCCACCATGTCATTATTTTTCTGTGCTGCCCCTTCATATTCCCCACTTCTCCTCTACGCTCCAGAATCATACATGGTTTGCCTCTTTCAGTCACTATTTGCCTCACGTAATTGCTGTCCAATCTCCTTCCCTTCCGGGTGTTCTGTGAGGGGTATTATCATTCATCCTGGAGTTTGTAGATTCTAGATGTGGGGAAAATGGAAGTTCCTATGGATACTCACCTGACCCCAAACTACTTGATGATGTAAGTGGCCTAGTGCGAGGCTGCTTCCACACCTGTAAGAAATAAGCTATTTTTGACTGAGTTATACAAAAAGCTCTGCCCAGTGCTTTGGGCAGTGGCAGAGATGGAGATGGATTATGGACCTGCAGACTGCTGGATGCACATGTGATTGTAGTGCTTGACCTACTGCCGGAAGAATAAAGCCGGGTATAAACCCTCTTACCCCAAGAATATTCCATTGTCATTTCTCAGTCTCACAGGATCCATAGTGAACTTGGCAGGGGCTGAAACCTTGCCACACAAGACACCAGATCTCAAATATTCTGTTTCAGTGTTCCCATAAACACACCAGTGTCCCCCAGATCATGTGTTCTGATTTTTTGGGCAGGCACTTGGAGACCCTCATGGTTAGAATAGCTCCAACAAGTGACTTAGAAGACATGCCTATTGTAGTGCATGCTCTTCAGATTCACGGAGCACACAAACAGGACCCTGGATATAGAAAACAGTCCATCTGGTTTGATTGTTCCAATTTTCATAATGATCTTGGCCCTTCCCCCACTGTTGTCTATTATTAACAGATCCAGAAACCTGATCCCGGCAGCAGCATCAGGACTTTCTGGGAACCATGCCCAGAAAGGCCTAGAAGCCCTAAATTGAAATGAAGGGGCAGCTGGTAAAGAAGGAGACCTAAAAAGTGTACTCTCATGCTGCCACCCATGCAAGCTTAGACCTTCCTGACACCAGCAGAGATGCTCTAAATATCTTGCTTCATAGGATAGTCAGGCTAGGGACTAAGAGACCAGTTCCCCAGCCTATCCAGCCAAACTACTCAAACTTCTGAAATAAAGCCCTTCTTGGTGGTCAAAAAAGCAACTCAAAATATTCAATTCCATTAAAATTATTAACATGAGATCACCTGTAGCATTAAAAGCCAGGATAATAACATCATGAGACCAGAGAATATACAGCCATTCCTCCATTCCAGTGAAATTAAAAACAAACAAGCAAAACAAAACAAGGGGACGGGGGTAGGGGGTGGGAAAGGAGGTATAGACTCAGAGAACAAGATTGAATAAAAAGTCCAAATATAATTATTCTATACAGAGGAAGCTGTCAGGAAAGGCTATAAAACAAAATACAAGTGCGTGCTGTTTACAAAAGAAATTCTACAGAAATTTGTTACTAAAAGGTTGAAAGTAAGGATATACGGGAATGGAGACTCCAACTTTGTTCTTATTGAAGAGTGCCTTTGTGTCTGTTGTGGCATTTCACTTCCATACAGATTTTACAATTAGCTTGTCAATTTTCAGAAAAATAAACCTGCTGGGATTTTACTTTGAATTGGGTTTAACCAGCGGGATCAATGAATTTGCACACTTGCAGTTCAATCCCATGGAGACAATCTCTCCATTTATGTGTTTCTTTCAAGAAATGTTTCACTTTGTCAATATAAAGATTCTGCCTACATTTTGGTGCATCTATTCTGAGCTACTTGATTTCTAGTGCTAATTAAAATTTTTTTTCTATTTTGTATTGAATTTAGAAACACATTGATTTTTGTATATTGACTTTGTATTCTATGACCTTGCTAAACTCAATTAATTGTTTGTAGATTCTTTTGGATTACCTAGTTATACAATCATGTTGTCAGTAGAAATGTGGGTTTTTCCTCCCTTTATAATCCTGTTTTTTTTCTTGGCTTAGCACACTGGCTGGGACCAGTATAATGGTAAATGGAGGTACGATAGTGGCCATCTTTGTCTCATTCCTCATCTCATGGAGAATGATTTGAATATAGGCATACCTCGTTTTATTGTGCTTCGCTTTATTGCGATGTGCAAACACTGCTTTTTTTTTTTTTACGAATTTAGTTTGTGGCAACCCTGCATCAAGCAGGTTTATTGACGTCATTTTCCAAAGAGCATTTGCTTACTTCCTGTCTCTGTGCCACATTTGGTATAAATTCCTGCAGTCTTTCAAAAACTTTTGCTATTATGTTACGGTGAGCTGTGATTAGTGATCTTTTATGTTACTAGTTTAATTATTTTGGATGCCATGAACCACACCGATTTAGGTCAGCCAACTTAAACCATAAATGTGTGACTGACTGCAGATGTGGTGGAAATAGTTAAACTAGAATTAGAAGTGGAGCCTGAAGATGTTACTGAATTGCTGCAATTTCTTACTTTAATGAATGAGGAGTTGCTTTTTATGCATGAGCAAAGAAAGTGGTTTCTTGAGATGGAATCTAGTCCTGGCGAAATAACTGTGAAGATTATTGAAACGACAAGGGATATAGAATATTACATAAACTTAGGTGCTAAAGCTGCGGGATGGTTTGAGGTTGACTCCAATTTCAGAAGAAACTCTACTGTGGGTAAACGTTATCAGGCAGCGTTGCATGCTAGAGAAATCATTCATGAAAGGAAGTCCATTGACATAGCATGCTTCATTGTTGTCTTAAGAAATTGCCACAGCCACCCCACCCTTCGGTTTTTGCAGTAAACCCAAATTAGATATGATGTATTATCTTTGTGTAGCTAGACTTGACTTATTTTGTCTGGGAATTTTATCTCTATACTCACAAGAGAATTTGGCCCTTGGTTTTCCATTTTTGTGATATCCTTGACAGGTTTTGGTGGCTTGCTTTTACTTCAAGTGAGCTGGGATCTGTCCCCTTCCCTATAGTCTCTGGAAGTTTATGAAAGACTGGGCACTAAGATATGGGTGATACCCCTTTTCCCATTTCTAATGTTGATGCGTTTTTTCTTTCCTAATCATTCTACTAAGAGCTTATCAATTCTGTTGTTTTCAAGGTAATTACTTGCCTTTGTTTTTATTGTATTTTTTTTCTGACTTTTGCTTTTTCTGTATTGTTATTCTCTCCCAGCTTTTTGACATGGAATCTTAGACATCAGCCTTTCTTTTGTAATATATGAGCTTAATGTTTCTTTTAAAATATTGCCTTACCTGTACACCATAGGTTTTGATACAACATATCTTCAATTGAAAATTCTTTTTCTAATTTCCTTTGTGATTCATCCTGTGACCCATGTGTTATTTAAAACTGCACTGCATGTTTTTTAAACAGAGACTTAACAATTTTCCTTTTCCTAGCTTAATTCCACTGTGTTCAGAGAACATTCTTTTTTGGAATTTTTTGAGGCTTGTGTGATGGTAATTTTTGGAATTTTTTGAGGTCCAGCCACGATGGTAAATCTGCCGATGTAGTTAAAAAGAATATGCATATTCTTGGTTTTACAGTACAGTGTTATAATATCAATTAAGTGAGACTTGTTCAATTTATATGTTTTTGAAATGTATTAAAATATTTAAGATTCAATTCCACAACATTCAGGAAATAAATCTCATTTCATTCTATGGTTTCCTATTCCAAATGTTTTCCTTGGGCTTTTGATAGCAATGACTGTTATTTCCCCCCTTTCCCAGCTCAAATAATGAGCAATGGAATCATATACATAGATAGTAAGAAAGGCAAGCCTTTAAGGTTAGCAATGTCTCTCCTTGCCCTGTTCCACCACTGAAACCATTACAGGCCTTCCAAAGCCTTAGAGAAAAGTTGGAAGCTGGAAGAGTCTGTCTCACTGGGAGCAAGGAACAGGCATACAAACAATTCTGGAGATGTGCTCTTAAGTCTTGAACCACAGAAGGAAATGAATATTCAAGTCTGTTATAAAATATTTCAAGTGTTACCTTTTAATTTACAGGTTTCTTCTACTGGCCACTATGGCCAGGAATAAAGTTCTGTTCCAGCAAGAGATACTTTATCAGATAAAGGCCACCAACTCAGCCTCCCAAACAGCTTCTGTACATCAGCAAGACTCTCCCAAAGGACCTATCCACAAAGGAACCGTCACTGCCCTCCTGGCAGGACAGTGTTAGTGTAGGTGGACAGAGGGTAGAGGCAAGGGTGATGAGGATCACCTGACCAGTTATCTGGCTATCTCTATAATGACAAAATAAAATCTCCAGTTTAAAAGAAAAATTAGTTTTATAAAAACAGACACGTTTATTTCAATCCTGTTGAGGGAGACAGATGGAAACAAAAAATGAGGGGAAGGTTCTCTTTATACACACACGACATCAGGATCAACTACAAGGATTAATACCCATTTCCACCCCAACCCCCCAAAATGTGGGGTCCAAGGCCAGCTGAGAATAGATGGAACAATAATTAAGACACTACTGGCACAGTTACATGGCCAATGCACCACAAGATGGAGAGAGAAGAGAACTTCCCAGGGAGCAAAGCCCTGGGCCTCAGCTGCTTCCCCAGTGGAGGGGAAATGAGAAAACTTTGGCTCAGCAGAAAGGTGGTTGGCAAAAATCAGGGTTATTGTAGCTGGACTCTCCAGATCACAAACTACTGGCTGAAGGGAGTCAAGATGTCAATTTAATCCATGCTGTCTTCCGTTTTCTCCAAGGTCTTCAGGCTTGAGACTGAGAGCTGGCCTGGTTCTCCTCTTCATCTTGGAAGGGAGGGGAGTTAAGTGTTTATTCTACCCTTCCTATATCTAGGATACTTAATTACTACTTTCCTGGCTCTGAAGAGACAGAAGCCAACTAGCAAGGCCGGCTCCCTTTGTGAAAGTCGGCTTGAAAGAGCCCTTATGTTGGCAAAACTGCCTCTGCAAAAGTCTCAAACCTTGCCCCTTAGAGAGCCTCTCCAAACTTTTTCAGGGACACCTTCAACTGTGTGAAATGTGGGCAGAAAATACTTGGTTTGTCTCTAGTTGGAGTAATAATCCCATCTCTGATTGGCGATGAGGATGAGTGAAAGAGAACAGGTGTTTGCAGAGGGAAGGATTGGCAGAAAGCAAGGCAGTTTACACCGGATTACAGATGAATCCTCTGGATTGTGAACAGAGTCATCTAAAGCTCCAGAGAAGGAAGGGAGATTCTCTGACACAATACGAAAAAGTGGAAAATACTTTTGTGACAACCCTGTAGTTCTCATAGACCAAAAGGGAATGTGTCAAAACAAACAAACAAAAAAAGACTCAGGCAAACAGAGTACAGCCCTCTATCTTAAATCTGAAGAAAATTAACTCATTCTAATACTGCTTCAAGTACAATCATGAAGAAAGACAGAGCTGAAGAAATTCACACTAAAGCAAAGACTGGGATCAAGAAGCCCATCATCTGAATCCCAGGCACCTCCCTTTCAAAAGTCATCCAGAAAATATCTTTGAGGAATTCAGTTGAAGGGGAGGTCCACCGCCAACTCTCATCCCCCAATATGATACCCTTCCAGGACAGTCTGATGAATTAAGACATCTGCTTTAAGTTTAACAGGAGGGATGTAAAAAAGGGAAAAGCACTGAGATTTGGAAAAGCTAGCAGCTAAAGCCAGAAACAAGGTTATGGTCCTTGTGGCATCCAGAACTGGGTGCAGGAGAATGGAAGGGAAGAGTTCCCGCTGTCCTTTGGCTTTCTTTGTATCTTTCCCCTCCCTCCCATTCCTCCCAACAGTTCATGCAGCTATTGGCCTGCTAGAGGGGATGTAATGCTCAGACCAACTTTTTATTGAGCTTATGCAGCTAACACACTTGTAAACAGTGCCAACTGACAAAGTTTTGCTGAATATTACAGCTGTGTCCACTAAATGCACCTCTCTCTGGGATTAAAAACAAAATACCAAAGTAAACAAATACTGAGAGAGAGAATGAAGAGACACATCTTGAGTCTTTCAGGAAAGCAAAATAAAAAATGCCACATGGCTTGGTCCCAGGCGGTCACCATGCCTAGAGTGCTGCCACTATCACCACTGTCTCCCCTCCCTGCCAGCCACTAGGTTGAGGTGGGGGAGAAGGGTCATCTTGGACATGCTGCAAGTACAGCATTTGCTGGTGCTGACACCCTTCTGGGGCTGTGGTGGCAGACTGCTGTGTCAGAAGCCCACCTCCTGGGAGTAGCACAGGGAGCCCAGGTCGTTAAGGCAGCCTGAGATGGCAGCCCATACACCTCAGCAGGGGTACCTTGCCCCTCTTCTCCAGTGCAGTTCAACGTTGAGGTTGTCCTATTCCCGGTCGATAATAAAACCTGAGCTGTTTTCCTCGCAGATTCCCCCTCCCCTCCCCAACTTGGGGAAGTTGTGGGAGGGGACAGGGGAGGATCACTGAGGGGGCAGGGGGATACCCCTGGGATCGGTGACCTGACCCTCTTGCAGATTTTTCACCAGTTGTGCAAGCCAGCGTTTCGTGGTAGTGTCATCTTTTAGCACCTGGGCAAAGGTCGTGTCCTTCAGCTGGTCAGGGAGGCACTGCCTGAGCGCTTCACGTGCCCTACATCAGAAACAAACAAACCAACCGGGGAGACCAACAAATAAACTCACATTTGGGGGACAGGGAAGAGCTCCTTTCTTAGACATAAGTAGACAGTATCCTGGGAAACTATGGCTCTGTTGAGTTACTTTGAAAAGGCATTAAAATTCTTTAAAGCTTATATTAGGTATGGGCTCAGAGATCTCCAGGATGTGCAGCCTGCAAACATTTTCAGAATGATGCCCCAATGTAGAAATTCATGGCAAAACAAAACGGAATAAAATGGTGCAACTGTTTACTTTAGTTCAAACTGCTTTCTGATTTTACTATAAATATTGTCAATATACTGTTAGAAATATATGAGTTATAGTAAATGGAACATTTCTAAAATCAGTGTGTTAACAGGGAATATGATCTGACTCATAGTATGACATTAAATTCCAAACTAATTAAATTTATCTTTCCAAAAACTCAGTTTTATAGTTAAAATCCTTAATAAAAGATGAGCAATAAAAACAAAACTATGACTATCAAACTTTTAAATGTTTTGTTTTCTTTAAAAGATGACCAGCAGAATGTCAAATCTGAAAACCTCAAAAAGGTAAATGTTAACTATTTACAAAGCTGTTTTAAACCAAGTCATAGCTTTTGTATCCGGACCTGTTTTCTTTGCACAAGTGGAATTTTCAATAAACATATTTTCAAATTTTGGTGAAAACAGGAACCACTGAAGGACAGAACAAAATGATCTGAGAAAAAACTAAGGCTTGAATAACCTCAGTGGCAAGAGGCTGAGTTCACATTACATCAAGTTACCTCCATTCCTGGGAACACAGAAATTATACCATTATGTGGTTTAGCAGAATCTGAGCAAGTGGCTTTCAGTATGAATTATGGATTTAAAAAGCAAAAGGCCAAACATTTCTAAAATGCACTGCATCTACAATATATGATTTCCAACGGAAGAAACATTATGAACATCGGGAGATAAAATAATTAGCTCAAGGACTTTACAGGAATCAGGGAAAGAACTGGAAATATAATTCAAGAAGAGCCCCCTGGGCTGTGTTCCTTTCTGAAGAGATCTTTGAAAATTAACTTTTTTGACCACTTGGAGTGGCAGCAGAAAGCTCAAACCACAGGAGCAATTTATCACAAGGTTGCCTGGGATCTGTCTGGACTGTCTGGAATGTTGGAGCAGGGTACGGAATTACAAGGGGGAGATAAAATTCTGATGGATTTTTAAATTAAGCATTTGAAATTTTAAAAGGAATTAATCAAGTTCTGTATCAAACAAACTAAGTGCAATTATGTCACTTCTATATCTAAAGATTCACCACAGTATTTCCCCATAGTTCTACAAATCCTGTAAATGTTTACCTGGGATTATCCGAGAGTCGAAGGTAACATCTCACTACATGCTTCAGCAGACGGGCGGAAGGCTCTTTGGATAGCTGTAGGACCATCTTACCCTGTTTCCCCCCAAAATGGGGTGGGGTAGGAAAAGAACCCACAAAATATAAAATAATTCTAGTTGGCATGAGAGATCAGATATTGCAAGAATCATACACAAGGGTCCAGGATTGTCATTTCTAGTTGAAAGACTGAAACCACTCAGTGTCAACTGCAAAGGGACTAAGCTGCATGATCAGAGGTGGTTGCAAAGGTGGCAGATAAAAAGAACTCACCAAGATCATGGCAACATGGGAGAAACGCTCATATGTCTGACAGATATAAGCCAAGCCAGTGTCATCTAAGAGGATCTTTTGGAGGATGAATGTGGCAACCTGGAAAACCAAATTAAAAGCATTCCTCAGACTTCTCTTCTAACTATCTAATCATCTCCCAGAAATAACCACAAATCAGAAAATTAAGCAGAGGTCTTTACATTATACACTACTTACTTGAAAAGATACAGAGTACAAAAAATTAAGAAATATTACCCTACTGAACACTTACTCTGTAAGTTTATAATAAGTATTACTACACTGGATACTTACTTTGTGCCAGACTTTTCCCCAAAGGCATAACATGCCTTGTCTTATTTTCATATTAAACCTGTAAGGTAGGTACCATTGCTAGTCTCATTTTACATAAATGGATAGGTTCTGGGTAATGTTCAGATTCTTAAAAACATAGAGACTTTCTCAGTTATTGAACACCTACTGTGTGCCAGTTATAACTGTTTATCAATAACTTGTCAGGTTAAGGTCCCAAGGGACAAAGCTACCAAGCTGCAGAGTTGAGATCCAAACCTAGTTTGAACACAAAGCCTCTTCTTTTTTCCATGGGCCAAGGTGATTTTAGAGATTCAGTTATGCATTATTGCTTCCAAATGAGGTAGGTAAGGATTTCCCTATTCTTAAAAAGATCTTTAAGATATAAGATTTTTAAGCATCCCTTTGAAAACTGTCCTGAAAGTACAAAAGAATATCCTCAACTTAAGCTCACTCTTACATAGAAGAAATTTTAAAAATACTAATTTAAGTCAAACAATTATTATAATGGTTCTCTTCCTTGGCTGTTCATCAGAACTAACTGTGGAAATGTTTTTTTTACTATTTTACTGGGGTAAAATACTGTGGCTGGCTAAGTAATAGCCCC